TGGACAATGGATCGACTGTAGGAGAAGAGAGGACAGATTAAGGTCTTGCACACCTCTGTGTTCACTTTATTTCATTCTAATGTCAATTTTTGTATACCCAGAACTATTTGGTAGTGATGAATGAAATGAAAATTTAGTTTTGCCAAATGTCCATATTTTGACCTATACTCTGCCCAGTGTTTAATTTAACTCTGCCCAGTGTTTAGCGTTCGGCTCATCGTGCCATCTGGCTTTTATTTTGACAAGTATTCGGCATTCGGCTCATAGTCCCACCTGCCATTTACTTAGTTATGTGCTTGTCACTCTGCTTGAATGCCTCTTGCCACTTTTATTGGACTAAGAGGGGGGGTGAATTGGTTAAAATCTTTCCTTTTAAGTTATCACAGAAAGCAAGTACATAAATAGAAATGTAAACAAGGATTACAAGAAAACCCTCTCAACTTGGGAAAACCTTGGTTCTTGGCCTCATCCAATATGCAATTCACTATTAGCTATATGTATCTTGTTACACAATCAGCTATCTCCCTCTCTGTACACACCCAAACACAAGAATAAACACTAGTTTTCACAACTAATACACACACTAGCACACTATAGTGTATACAGGCACTCCCCCTGTCCTAAGCAGCCTTACTTTGACCAAATAAGCTCTCATAGCTCACCACACACACCATTACAGATGTAAAACAATGTAATCAAGTCTTTTCTACAAGTGAAATAGCATAGACAACTCAAAACTCCAAGTTACTGCCTTAAAACACTAATCTACTACAGCTAGGGTTTGAGGGGTAAAATTGGAATTTCCCTTCGAGATCAGTTCACCTGTAGCTTCTACAGTCTTATTTCACTATAGCACTTATGTTTATATCTTTAGACAGTCAAGAATAGCATGAGCATATCAACAAATTCAGTCACAATACTTGAACAAGCACAATACAACATAGTTTTAGGGTTCTACAAAATCAATATTACAATGTGCCAATATATTGTTCCACGGCCAATTTCAACAGCTTCAAATCATCAAAATAAACTTGCTAGTAGGAAGATAATTCATAAAACTGATAGCCTTAACCATTTTGTACTTAAATCACAGATACAATCAGAAATAAGCTTGAATGATGATCTAGAGATTCAAATTCAGTCTAAGCAAGTTTTTGTCCAAAACAAAATACTGAGTAAGCGTAAATAACTTGGTTATACCTGTGACAGCCCTTAGAAATGACCACAGCAGCTTGGAACTCAAAACCACTACTCAATCCAACCCTTGCACCAGTAAGCTTGACAACAGCATCATCTTAGCAATTAGTACACACCCCTAGAGTTGATTCAATGAGTTTTCTTGCATGGATCATCATCAAATAACAGAGAAAAACTTGCTTAACATAGTATGCTCGAGGGTTCTCAACTACAGCTCTATTTTGTTATCTATTCAAGAAGCTTAAACCCTAAAGACCTTATCACACAATATATATATCAGTATACACACTGTAGCCCTTGTACAACTACTAGAATACACCCGTCACCTTCTACCAATCATTGGGAGAGCACAATTCAAATATTTTTCAAGAAATGAACCAATGAAGGCCTGTCACCTCAGCTGTTTTGTCACTATTCTCACCAGCTTTAATAAGTTACAGGTTGTATGCTGACATTTCAATTTTATCCAAACTTAGCCTCTAAGAAATGTAATACACTTGTATATACAATCACTCTAGGACCACTGAAACATGACACACTCTTGAACATAGTTAGAAAGGACCAAAATACCCCTTTAACAGTTTTAACCTTCTTATCAAAATAGAAATCCTGAAGCTATATAATTCACAATGTAGGCTCAACTAAAGTTGTTCAGTGCAATTCAGCTATCAAGTCACACATATATACATGGAATACAACTGACAAAAGACCATAATACCCCTGTGAACACCTATAGCTAAATTTGAAGAGCCAAACCTTCACTGTCACAATAATTTCAGTAAGACAAGCAAGCAAATTGTAATGCACTATCTCAGATCAGTGCATAACATGTGTATCCATAAGAAACTGACAATGCTACCCCTGGACCTTATTTCAAACCATAATGCAAGTCGAGATCATGCTTGAATCAACAGAAAAATAAAGTTTTTGACATTAAATAGGAAAACTTCCTTAAGACAGCTTAAGACCAACAATCTCCCCCTTTTTGCCTTTAATGACAACAATAACTTAATTGAATAAGGTCTATGAGACTGAGAACCACAGAGATATAGTAAGAGCAACCCAAATGCAAAAGAAATAGTCTAAAGATACAAACTATCCTTATTTCAGTCCTTTTCTCCCCCTTTTTGACATTGAAGTTCAAAAGGTGAAAAGGACCAACACTAATAGGCTCATAAATAAGGAGGAACAACCCCAAGAAGCTCTTTGAGGGCTGAAAATCTCTGAGGGAGAAGAGGTTTGGTCATAATATCTACTAATTAATCCTCAGTAGGTAAATAAGTGATATTAATAAGGCCTCATTGAACTTTATCCCTGAAAAAGTGATACCTGATGTCAATGTGTTTACTCTTCTAGTGCAATGTAGGATTTTTATTGATAGCAATGGCGCTTTGGTTGTCACAGAAAAGCTTAGGAGGTCTTGGAAATTGGATTCCAAGGTCTAAGAGTGTTGTTTTCATCTAAAGCAGTTATGACCTAGCTTGTGAGGTAGCTATATACTCAGGTTCAGAGGTTGAAAGAGAGACAGTATCCTACTCTTACTTAGCCAAGAAACCACATTAGAACCAAGAATATAACAACAACCAGTGGTACTTTTTCTGTCAGGTAAAGATCTACCCCAGTTAACATCTGAGAAGGCTGTAATAGACATTGAAGATGAGATAAAATAGGATAGACCATAGGAAATGGTTCCCTTGACATATTTTAAAAAAAATTTAGTAGCTTGTAGATGAGAAACCCTTGGATTACTTTGAAACCTGGCTACCCAACCTACTGAGTACATTATATCAGGCCTTGAAGCTATAAGATATAGCAAACTTCCAATGATAGACCTATAAAGTGTTGAAGGGATAGCTTCTGTGGTACATTCTAGTAAGAGTTTGGTAGTAGGGCACAGTGGTGTTGAGACAGCCTTACACTCATCCATTTTAAACTTTTTAAGTAGCTCAGAGGCATACTTTTGTTAAGAAATGAAGATTCCTTTGGATGTTTGAGTAATTTGTCGGCCTAAAAAATATCTGAGAGTGCCCAAGAGTGGCATTTCAAACCTTGTCTTCATGAGATTAGCAAACTCTGATGCTAATGAGGTGTCTAGGACACAAAACATGATTTCATCAACATATATTTACAAAATTAGAAACTGTTCTTAATGAATTTTGACATAGAGAGTGTTATCAACCTTGCCTCTGTGGAATCCTTGTTCAACTAAAAACTGATGTAGCTTTTCATACCAGGCTCTAGGGGCTTGTTTGAGACCATACAATGTCTTCGTCAGTTTGAACACATGAGAGGCATACTCTGAATCTTCAAAGCCTTCAGGTTGTTCCAAGTAAACTTCTTCATTTAAGTCTCCATTTACGAAGGCAAACTTAACATCCATTTGGTACACTTTAACTTACTTGTGATAGGTAAAAGACAAAAGCATTCATATGGATTCCATTCTAACAACTAGAGCAAAAGTTTCATCATAATCAATTCCAGCCCTTTGTGAATAACCTTTGCATACCAATCTTGCTTTATTTCTGATAACAAACCCCTTCTCATCCAACTTATTTCTGTAAATCCACTTTGAGCCAATTACATTCTTATATTCAGGTCTAGGTACAAGTGTCCAGGTATCATTCTTATGAATTTGATTAAGTTTTTCCTGCATAGCTGCTTTCCAATCCTCACTTTTCTGAGCTTCAAAATAGGACTTTGGTTCAATGGATGACAACATAGCAAAATGACTATATTCTTTACCATCTTTAGCTACTAGATCAGTTAGTTTCTTTTTATTCCTTGTTTAAAATCTAGTTTGAGGTGGACCAATAATGTTCTCAACTTGGACCTGTTTTTGCAGCACTGGATAGGTAATTTCTCTTGGACTTTTAAGTTCAGATACTGAAGTACTGGTTTCATTTGACCCAAGTGTGTTGTTTTCAAGAAGTGTTGACTGAGGATTCTCATCAAACTTCACATTGATTCTTTACTACCTTTGAAGATTTGAGATTATAGCATCTATAAGACTTGTTTTTGTAGAGTATCCCAAGAATATGCCTTCATCAGCCTTTAAATCAAACTTTCCCAAATTATCAATGTGATTCAGTATATAACACTTGCTGCCAAACACCATGAAGTAGTGAACTGTTGCAGGTCTTCCATATAATAATTCATAAGGTGTTTTGGGTGACTTTTGGTCTGAGAAGAACCCTATTGATTCTATGTACAGAGGTACCATAGCTTCAGCCCAAAATCCTTTTGCCAAACCCTTTTCAAGCAATATCGTTCTTCCCATTTCTTGGATTGCCCTTTCTCTTTTTCCATAACTCCATTTTGTTGAGGAGTAGCCACAGCTGAGAATTCTTTCTTAATCCCCTTGTTATCACAATAATGCTCAAATTCTTTCATAATGAATTATGAACCAAAATTAGACCTAAGTCTCTTCATAGTACAACTTGTTTCATTTTCAACAAGATTAACAAATTTAATGAAGTGTGTAATAGCCTCAGATTTTTCTTTCAAAAAGTAAACCCATACCATTATACTATAATCATCAATGAAAAGCATGAAATACTTACTTCCACCAACACTAGTGGTTCTGGTAAGGCCATAGAGATCTATATGTATCAAATCAAGAGCTCTTGAAGAGTTTGTTTCCTTGGAAGGGAATGAGACTTGGTTTGTTTGCCTTGTTGACAGGCTTTACAAAGATGGTCTTCTTTAAAATTGATGTCAGGCAATCCTTTCACAGCTTTCAACTTAAGAATTTTAGATAGATTCTTTGAATGAAGGTGTCCTAACCTTTTATGCTACAACTTAGCTTAATCACAGGTTGTCAGATTGCATTGAGTGGACTGAGTTTCTTCAGTGACAAGATACACATTTCCTGAAGATCTACAAGCTGTAAATAGGACCTGTTTGGACTTTAGATCAACCACATTGCACTTTTCCTTATTAAAGCAAATTCTTTTCCTACTGTCACAAACTTGGCTAACACTAAGGAGATTGTGTTTAAGTCCTTCAAAAAGTAGAACTTCTTGGATCTCAGGTAATTCTTCAAACTTGCTCATAATCTTTGCCTTTTTATTGTCTCCAAAGACAACATTTCCCCTATCAAATTGTTTAAGAGAGACAAATTTGGAACCATCACTTGTCATGTGTCTTGAATAGCCACTGTCAACATACCATTTATCCTGAGTGTTACAGGCTTTGAATGTTGTATACATAAGGAGACTCACAGAGTTCAGCTTCTTAGGAATCTACATCATCTTAGACTTCACAATTGACCCTTTGTCCTTGGTTCTCTGAGCTAGAGTTAAATCAGACTTCTTAACATATATCTTAGTAACCTTGAAGTTTTATATGGCTGTGGTAACAAAATCTCTTCTGTCAAAACTTAAGGTATTGTAAGTGTTGTCAAGTAAATCAAACTTGGACCTTAGGGGTTTTACAATAGGATACCTAGCATACACTTCACCAGTTGTGGCCTTAACAAGCACAGAGTGATTTTGTTTAAACTGTAAGGCTGTATCATACACATAGCCAATTCTAGTCTTTCCAATTTGCTTAGTAGATTGCTTCCAAATCTTAGCCATTTTTAAGGATCTCTCTTCAAGAATAAGAGGCAGTTCTTCTTTACACCTCTTAGTAGACCATTGAGTGTTACCTTAAGGCATTAACAGGTTCAGAAATATAAGAGAGATTGAACACAAGGTTGACAGCTTAAGCTTGAAGTGTTTGGTGAGGATTTGTTTTAACTTTACAAGATCTGCATTGAGTCTTTTGATCTGAGAATTCTGTTGATTACACTTCACAGCAAGTCTTTCACATTCTTCTAGGATTTCTTCTATCTCAGTGTCACTATCTTCTTCAACTTGGAATGAGTATATTGGTGTTTCAAGAATGGCCATAAAGAAACAATCATCTTCTTGTGGTTCTTCAGATTTTTCTTCTTCAGGAGCTATATCCCAATCAGTAATTAATGGCTTCCTTTCAAACCTTCCCTTGTTATTTGGCCCTTCAAACTTCCTTTGATATTGCCCCTTTGAACTAGGACAGTTTGACACCACATGACCAGGTTTACTACAACCATAACAGGTTAGATTTTACAGTTAAGATTTCTTCTTAAACCTGAATTTCTTGAATTTCTTAGCAAGAAAAAGCACTTCATCCTCTTCTAAATCATCTTCAGACTTTGTATCAACTTCCTCAACAACTTCCTTGGCTTTGAGAGTAGTTTCTCTTCTGTGTAAAGGTCACGCCCCTAGACCGTAGTCAGGATTGTGAACACAACACGTAAACAATTACAGTCTCACAATCACTAATATCCCTGTAACCTGTCTCAACCACACATCCACCTATCTATTTCCTTTTTATAAAACCAAGACTGAAAGTAAATAGGTAAGACGCACATATTACAACTTTAAAGTTTTAAAGTCTGAAATAACATTTATTACATGCCAGGAATACTCTAAAGAAATATAAAACAAAACATAGTCTATCATGCGGAACAAAACACAACAACACCAGCCCCGACTCTGTCTACAGCTGATGAGGAACACCCTCCACACCATCCATGCCATGACCTGAAAAGATGTGTATAAAATAGGAATGAGCAACCACAGCTCAGCGGGAGTTACTTAAAATGCACTCCTTAATACCTCCGTGAATCCAGACAAAGAACAGACAAAGGATAATGGGATCATACAAGCTCGGGAAAACAGAATATAATATGAGATAATAAAATAAAGTGTCATGCAATGCCAATGCCAATGCTAATGCCACTGACACTTCTCACTTCCCAAAAAATCCCATTTCCATTACAAAAAAATTTAATGTAATCCGCCCAGGGCTACTCCCCAGTACCACGAGAAGAGAGTTGGTCATCTATCTCTGATACAAGGCCACTCCTTGTGATTATTTGGGGCTCTAGTGACACAACTATGCGAAGAGCCACTCCCTACATCTCCTCTAGATTCCCATTAACTACACAGACAAGGCAACTCCTTATCTGGTTTTTAAATCATTGATTCAAATCCCTTTTCCAAATTTACAGATAAAAGGCACTTCCTTGTTATCCGATTTTCAAAACCATTTAATGAAACATTTTCACTTCCTTTTTCATTTCAACATCATCCCCATGCTCATGTGATGCATGTACATTTATAGAATATGATATACAAGTAATGAAGTAAGTAAGGAAATCTTGGTTCATATACAATATCATGGTATGCATTTTAATCCACACATGAGCACGTTAAATTAACAGTCTAACTAAGCACAATTATAGAACACAATAAAACATGCTTTCTATTTCACATTTGCCACCTAACAACTTCCATAGTGCTTAATAACATTTAGAAAACAAGTACCCAACTTCTGAAATATCATAACAACCAGTGTTCTAATTTTCAAGTAGCAGCCTATGTTTAAAAGGTCATAACTTTTTCTCCAGTTTGAATCTAAGCCTAAAATTGGTATCATTAGAAATCTTGTTTTGAGCTAATCAATTTAGACTCAAAACTTGCTCAATTTGGATTTCAAATGAGAAAGTTATGGCCAGTTGAAGTTCAGGTCGATGCTTAGGAAATTCTGCAGATTTAATGCGCGAACCTGACAACCTATGTTTACAGGGTCATAACTTTTTACATAGTTGGAATTTAAGGCTGAAATTGATATCATTGGAAAGCTTGTTTCGAGTTAATCAATTTAGACTCAAAAACCACTCAATTTGGACTTAAAATGAGAAAGATATGATCCTTTGAATTTCAGGTTGCTGTGATTCCAGAATTGTGAAAAAAACAAAGAGTAGCCTATGTTTTAAGCACAAAACACACATAGAATTGATTCCTTAAAGGTAAACGGTGTGAGAGTTAAGTAATCCTACCTCACAAAAGCTTGAAAACCCTTGCAAGAACAATTTAAAGCAACCCAAATGATGAATCAAAGCTATCCAAGATGAAAAGTGAAGAACAATCTCTTCTTTGTTTGCTACCAAAACCCACTTCTTTCAAGGCAGATTGTAAGACCCCAACAATGAAGAAAGTAACACAAAGTGGATACCAAAATGAAGCCCAAGACATCAACTACACTTTTCATTCAGAAACCCTTCTTAAAATCCTATCACTACAGCTCCAAATTTGCTTGCAAATGAAATGACTTTCAAGAGGAAAACAAAGGTACGAAAAATGTGTTCTACAGATTGTTTTAGTTTGTAAAAAAAACATTTTAATCACCTTACAATAGTCACCATACACACACCCAAAATACAGCCAAGTGTCCCTCCACATGTCAAGCATAAATCTAGCCAAAGCATGCCCCCATGAAATGACTAAAAGGCCCTTCACATATTTACAAATTTTCATCTAGGTCATTCTTACAACAAAAGACTAGAATACCCTCCAAGAAATACCAAATGCCAAATATGCCAATTGAAATAATAAAAGTCAACTTTGCCCTTTATAAAATAATCAAATACCATATATACCATTTGTAAAACAAAAAGTCCATAATGCCATTTAGGAAACAAACAAATAACATTAAATTAAATTAAACACATTTGCAACTTGAATCATAATTTCTAATAATAAAAATAAAATGCATGAATGCCACCATGTGTGGAAAATGATAAAAATGCAAAAATGCAAGTCCTCACAGTAAAGTTGGAGGACCAATCCTCATTTCATAGGCTGTTAAAGAGGCTTGAAGTTCATCAATCTTCATGTTTGTCAAATCCTTGTCTTCTAGAATAGTAACCCTAGGATTGGACCTGGAAGTAAGAGACCTGGGTATCTTCTTGCATACATCAGAGTCTTTAATATCTTCTCCAAGAGATTTTATGTTGTTGACAAGGTTATTGATTTTAAATATGTACTCAGCAATAGTTTCCTTTTCTTCCATTTTACAAATCTTATATTGGACTTTGAATAGCTAAATTTTGTTATCCCTTATGACATTATTACCCTCATGAGCTGCCTAAAGAGAATCCCACATTTCTTTGGCTGTCTTGTAATTTTTGACTCTAGTGAATTCTTATTGTTTCAAGCCATAGAAAAGAACATGTTTTGCCTTTCCATAATTGGCCACAACTATTTTGTCTTCAGCTGAGTGGTTATCTAGACTGAGAATCATAACACCATGTATAGTAGCATGCCACACATCATAAGACTAAGACATTAGAAAAGCTTCCATTCTAGTTTTCTAAGAATCATAGTTTAAACCTTTAAACCCTAGGGCTTTGGTGATAACCTGACCTTCATCCATTTCTAGGATCAACTGCAGGCCTGTTAGAACCTTATAATGCAGACCAAAGCTCTGATACCAATTGTTGGACCAAGAGAAGGGTGAATTGGTTAAAACCTTTCCTTTTAAGTCATCACAGAAAGCAAGTACATATATAGAAATGCAAACAAGGATTACAAGGAAACCCTCTCAACTAGAGAAAACCTTGGTTCTTAGCCTCAGCCAATATGCAATCTGCTACTAGCTGCATGTATCTTGTCAGCTGTCTCACTCTCTGCACACACCCAAACACAAGAATAGACACTAGTTTTCACAACCAATGCACACACTAGTACACCATAGTGCATGCAGGCACTCCCTTTATCCTAAGCAACCTTGCTTGGACCAAATAAGCTCTCATAGCTCACCATACACACCATTACAGATGTAAAACAATGTAATCAAGTCTTCTCTATCAGTGGAATAACATAAACAACTCAAAACTCCAAGTTACTCAAAACACTAATATGCTGCAGCTAGGGTTTGAGGGGTAAAATTGGAATTTCCCTTCGATATCAGTTCACCAGTAGCTTCCATAGTCTTATTCTGTAGTACTCATGTTCATATCTTTAAACAGTCAAGCATAGCATGAGTATATCAACAAATTCAGTTACAATGCTTGAACAAGCACAATACAGCACTGTTTTAGGGTTTTATAAGAGCAATATCACAATGTGCCAATATATTGTTCCATAACCAATTTCAACAGCTTCAAATCATCAAAATAAAATTGCTAGCAGGAAGATAATTCATGAAACTGATAGTCTTAACCATTTTATACTTAAATCACAGATACAACCAGAAAATAAGCTTAAATGATGATCTAGAGATTCAAATTCAGTTCCAGCAAGTTTTTATCCAAAACAAAATACTGAGCAAGTGTAAATAACTTGTTTATACCTGTGACAGCCCTCAAAAATGACTACAACAGCTTGAAACTCAAAACCACTACTCAATCTAGCCCTTGCACCAGTAAGTTTGACAGTAGCATCATCTCAGCAATTAGTAAACACCCCTAGAGTTGATTCAATGAGTTTTTCTTACATGGATCATCATCAAACAACAGAGAAAAACTTGCTTAACATAGTATACTCGAGGGTTCTCAACTGTAACTCTATTTCATTATCTATTCAAAAGGCTAAAGACCTTATCATAGCATATATATATCAGTATACACACTGCAACCCTTGTACAGCTACTAGAATACACCTGTCACCTTCTACCAATCATTGGGAGAGCATAATTTAGATATTTTTTAAGGCAATGAACCAATGAAGGCCTGCCACCTCAACTGTTTTGTCACTATTCTCACCAGCTTTAACAAGTTACAAGTTATATGCTGACATTTTAATTTTATCTAGACTTAGCCTCTAAGAAATGTAACACACTTGCATATGCAATCATTCTAGGACCACTGAAACGTGACACACTCTTGAACACAGCTAGAAAGGACCAAAATACCCCTTTAATAGTTTTAACCTTCTCAGCAAAATAGAACTCCTTCAGCTATATAATTCACAATATAGGCTCAACTAAAGCTGTTCAGTGTAATGCAGCTATCAAGTCACATGTATATACATAGAATACAACTGAGAAAAGACCATAATACCCCTGTGAACACCTGTAGCTAAATTTGAAGAGCCAAACCTTTACTGTCACAGTAATTTCAGTAACACAAGCAAGCAAATTGTAATACACTATCTCAGATCCGTGTATAACATGTGTATCCATAAGAAACTGACAATGCTACCCCTAAACCTTATTTCAAACCACAATGCAAGTAGAGATCATGCTTGAATCAACAGAAAACAAAGTTTTTGATATTAAATAGGCAAACTTCCTTAAGACAGCTAGGACCAACAACTTTAGCCTTTATTAGTGCAAGTTTTTGGCGTTTAGCTCATATTGTTATTTGCCACTTACTTGGTTAAGTGATTGGCAATCGGCTAGAATGCCACTTGCCACTCAAGCTTTCATTTATGCAAGTTTTTGGCGTTCGGCTAATAGTGCCATTTGCCACTTGACTTTTCACTTTTTATTTTGTGCAAGTTTTTGGCATTCGGCTAATAGTGCCATTTTCCACTTACTTGGTTAAGAGCTTGGTGCTCAGCTAAAATGCCACTTGCCACTTGATTTTTCATTTTGTGTAAGTTTTTCGCATTCGGCTAATAGTGCCATTTGCCACTTTCTTGGTTAAGTGCTTGGCACTCAGCTAAAATGCCACTTGCCACTTAACTTTTCGCTTTTTATTTTGTGCAAGTTTTTGGGGTTTGGCTAATAGTGCCATTTGCCACTTACTTAGTTAAGTGCTTGGCGCTCGATTAGAATGCCACTTGCCACTTGACTTTTCATTTTGTGCAAGTTTTTGAAATTCGGCTAATAATGCCATTTGCCACTTACTTGACTTTTTACTAAGTGCTTTCTGCTCAACCAATTTTGAAACAAGATGAACTCTTTTTATAAATCTTGATTGATCGATACATTCACATACGCACAATTCTAAATGAACATTGTTCAAAATGGAATTTAATCTTGTAATCTTATTCTATTGGTAGTACTTTTTTAGTGACATTGCGTTCCATGGATTATTGACCAATCTTCCAGCCATGGTCTCTAGATTGTATGTCCCCTTTCCTATAACCTCTATAACTCTGTATAGCCCTTCCCAGGGTAACATCATCTTTTTGACGATTCCTACCTTCTTTTTCAAAACTAAGTCACCGGGTGCAAAATCTTTATGCTTTACCTTTTTGTTGTGACTATTAATAAGTGTTTATTGATAAAAAAAAAAAAAAAAAAAAAAAACGAGCCTTATTACTGCTAGATCTCTTTTTTCTTCTAGTAAATCAAGGTTAAATTTCAGCATACTGTCGTTCTGCTCTTGATCCCATGCCAAACTTTGAACAGTTGGAACTAAATGCTCAACCAGTATTACTGCTTCAGTACTATATGCCATAGCGAATAGGCTCTCACCAGTTGGTCGTCTAGAGGTTGTTCTATAAGCCCACAAAACGTTCGAAAGCTCGTCCAACCATTTACCATTCTTGTCCTCAAGCTTCTTTTTGATACATGCAAAGATTGTTCTGTTTGTGATTTCTGCTTGACCGTTTGCTTGCGGATGGCTAACTGCTGCCAACTTTTGATTGATTCCATACTCTACTAGTATGTTCCTTACTTGCTTACTGTCTAGATTAGTTCCATTGTCCATAATGATCAATCTCAGCACACCAAAACAACAAATGATATTGCTCCAGATGAAGAGTCTTACTTGAGTTTGGGTTACACTAGGATACGGCTCGACTTCTACCCATTTGGTAAAATAATCTGTCGCAAGCAGAACGAATTTGTTCTGTAATCTAGCCTCTGGCAGAGGGCCAACCACATCCATCCCCCATTGCTCGAAAGGCTATGGTTTGACCATTACATGCAAATCTTCAGGTGGTTGGTGGATCAGTAGTCCAAACCTTTGGCACTTATCGCATCTTCTAGAGAATTCTTCTATATCCCGCGACATGTTCAGCCAAAAATATCCTTGTGTCATTGCTTTGTGCGCCAAAGATCTTCCTCCTAAGTGGTTGCCATATACACCCTTATGGATAGCTCGCAGAATATGCCTAGCCTCTGAGGGGGTAACATATTTCAAATATAGACCCGAGAAAGATCTCCTATACAATTTATTATGGATAATGGCATATTTTGCAGCATTTAATTTGATTTTCCTTACCTCATCTTTTTGTTCAGGCAACACACCATCTCATATGAAGCTTGGCTCATACGGTATGACATTTACTTGCCGAGGATCCGAGCCCAGTGGTTCCTCAAAGAAGGAGGGTTGACATAACACATCAACTAGAATCACCCTTACCAGTGACTCTCCAGAACTCAATGCACTACAGGCTAGCTGATCGGCATCCTTATTATATTCTCTTGGCAGTTGGGTGAACTTGATTTGATCAAAGTTTTTTGCTTCATGCATAACGGTAGAATGATATGCCTTCCATTGTCTCTTCTGACTCTTCGGTCAACTCAGGCTAGCCATGAATTGCATATATTATACGAACAGGTTGAGCGTTATGATAGTTTGACTTTTGATTTCTCTTCACTTACTTTGCCGGTTGGTTTTGCTCTACTGCTGGTCCTTGAATGAAAACAGTGAACTCTCCCTTTTTTATTAGCATCTCCACTTATCTTCTTAAATTCTTACATTCATTAGTCAGATGTCTAAAATCACTATAAAAAGCACAATGTTTGGATTGATCTCTTTGTTTAAGCGGTTGTTTGATCGGTAGAGGAGGGTGAAACTTGTCTTTATTTTCTTAGAATAACCTCGCCAGGCTGACTTTGAGTGGAGTGATCGATTCTTCCTCCCTAGGCCTCTTTTCTGATTTCTAGGGGATCGGACGCTATGGTGCAACTTGCTGTTGACTGATCTTTATTCTGGTCTTTTCTCCCACTGCGACCATTGATGTCTTCCTTGCGTTAGCAACTTTTTCTTCCTCTAAGCGCACAAAACCATTAGCTCTCTGGTTTATCTCATCCATGGTCTTCGGCGTATTCACCGCTAGAATTGTGTGGAATGGTGTTCCTCAATTTATGGCCAGTTTGAATGCTTGAACCACCGTGGATGGATGGCACTCTATTACAATGCTCTTTTCTAGGTTAAATCTAGTGAGAAAAGTTTGGAGACGTTAGCCTTCTAACTGTTTCATTGTAAACAGACTTGATATGTCCTTGGCCGGCCGCTTGTTTCCATAATATTGGCTTATGAATTTGTTGCACAGGTTCCGGAAGCTTTCCACCGATCCTCTTGCCAAGTTTTTAAACCAATTAAACACCGGTCCAGTAAGGCCGTGGGGAAAACTTTGCACATCAAGCATCATTTTCTGTATTCAGAGTTATCTTTATCTGAATGTGATAAACATGCTCGATCGGATCGCTCGTTCCATCGAATAAAGTAAAAACTAGCATGGAGAATTTTCTTGGATTTGAAGCATTCAAGATCTCATCTGTAAATGGTGAATCAACAGTCCGAGCCGCCATGTGGAGGGCTTCGTTCTCCTTCGGGAGTATCTTTTGTTCAACAGGTCTCTTGCCTGAACTCCTATAGTCATACATGGCCATTGACGAATGGTAAATTGGATTGAACAATCTTTCCTTAGTTAACTCCCTCTGCCATAACGGTGTAGCCTTATTGTGGCCAAACTCTGTAGGTTCCTCTCGCCTGATCCTTTCCCGATGTGGATCCAGATGGACAGATCCTTCTCGATCTTCCATGTGATGGACATTCGGTTGAAAAACTTTCGGCTTGAACTCTTCATGGTGCAGATCCAGGTGAACGTTTCCTTTTGTTCACCCTGGTGAACAACATTTAGCTGCAAAATTATTTCTCTTACCGAAGTGTCTCGTCGCTCCATTCTGGCTCTCAATTCTGCATTTTCTCTTCTTAGAGCCTCAATCAGGCTCATCAATTTGTCAAGCTTTGCGTGTTGTTCATTTTCTTGTGGATAAGAACTCTCACCTCCGATCATCGTTCCTGATCAGAGCAGAGTCATCAACCGAGAAATCTTGGTAAAATTTGAACTCTACTACCGTAAGTGTACTAGATCTGGCCTTTGCCTGGCCGAATCCCGATCTCCGTCAGCTAGATCTAAATCTTTTTTGCCGTGAATTCGTCGGGTCTGGCCTTCGTCAATCAAGATCATATCTCCGCAAAACATATCACAATCTCCTCAGGTCGGAGTCCAATTTTCAGAAATCAAGCTTCAACTTCCATAAATTTAACCTTGATCTTCGCTGATCAATCTGCTTACAGTGTACTTGAGGATCAACTGGATCTCTCCTTCATTTTCCACATACGGCGCCATTGAAGATGCAATGAAAAATGTTCTCTCTATTTGGAAAACCAATTCCTTACACTTCAAAATATCTCAACTGCTTTTCCCTCTCTTTTCATTCTATTTATAGACTTTTACAAATATTCTAGAAGCTTCTTCTTTAGTCTTTCATGTTGGACCGATCCTTTGGGCTCTTCTACGAACATAGGCTCATTTCCTTTACTTTGAGATTGGACTTGGAGATTGTCTTAATAGATATTGAGCCTGATGGGTTGTCATCCGATCAGGCTAAATGTTTTCTCCTCATTCAATCTTTAGTGATATGGGTTGTACCCAGCCCAAGCCATTTTTGGTATCTTTATCGGGTTATGAATGAGTTGATGGATAAGACACAAACACGACACGTTTAATAATCATGTCAATACGGGTCGACATGATTATGACGTGAACATGATTAAGCTAAACACAAAACTATTTATTTTGTATCGTATTCGAATTATATTAGCGTGTGTAACGACCCGCTCCACCACATGGTATGATATTGTCCGCTTTAGGCCTGAGCCCGCACGGTTTTGCTCTTGAGCTTCAGTCCAAAAGGCCTCATACCAATTGGAGATGATGCACTTACATATAAGCACTTCACCTTTCCTCTACCCAGGCGATATGGGACTTGTGCACCCCCGTAACTCGCCAGTGTGGTAGCCTGACTCTCTTGCACCCGCCCACGGCACACCCGCCCACAAGGTCATCACAATCCACCCCCCTTGGAGGCCCGACGTCCCCGTCGGCACACTTCCAGCTAGGTCAGGCTCTGATACCATTTGTAATGACCCACTCCACCACATGGTATGATATTATCCGCTTTAAGCCTGAGCCCATTGTGAAGACCTTATGGGCGGGTGTGCCGTGGGCGGGTGCGAGAGACACTGTCAGGCTACCACACTGGCAAGCTACCACATCACCTGGGTAGAGGAAAGGTGAATTGCTTATATGTAAGTGTATTACCTCCAATTGGTATGAGGCCTTTTGGGGTGAAGCCCAACAGCAAAACCGTGCGGGCTCAGGCCCAAAGCGGACAATATCATACCATGTGGTAGAGTAGGTCAGTACAAATGGTATTAGAACCTGACCCAGCCGGAAGTGTGCCGACGAGGACGTTGGGCCTCCAAGGGGGGTGGATTGTGAAGACCTTGTGGCGGGTGTGCCGTGGGCGGGTGCGAGAGACACTGTCAAGCTACCACACTGGCGAGCTACGGGTGCACAGTCCCATATCGCCTGGGTAGAGGAAAGGTGAATTGCTTATATGTAAGTGTGTTACCTCCAATTGGTATGAGGCCTTTTGGGGTAAAGCCCAACAGCAAAACCGTGCGGGCTCAAGCCCAAAGCGGACAATATAATACCATGTGGTGGAGTGGGTCGTTACAAATGGTATCAGAGCCTGACCCAGCCGGAAGTGTGCCGACGAGGACGTCGGGCCTCCAAGGGGGGTGGATTGTGAAGACCTTGTGGGCGGGTGTGTCGTGGGCTGGTGCGAGAGACACTATCAGACTACCACACTAGCGAGTTACAGGTGCACAGTCCCACATCGCCTGGGTAGAGGAAAGGTGAATTGCTTATATGTAAGTGTGTTACCTCCAATTGGTATGAGGCCTTTTGGGGTAAAGTCCAACAGCAAAACCATGCGAACTCAGGCCCAAAGCGGACAATATCATACCATGTGGTGGAGTGGGTCGTTACAGCGTGTGTGGTGTAAAATATTGTCACCCCTAACCACATGGTCTCTTTTACTTTTATGTACGTATAAAAGTTATGTGAATGACCAAAGAGACACGGAAATCATTTTTTGTTTTTGGAAGATTAAGCATGTGAAAAAAAAAAAAAAAAAAAAGGGGGGCATGGAAATCGTGTTATACAAAAAGAAAAACAAAAAAAAAAAAAAAAACAAAGGTTGTTGTGCATAAGGGACAAACCCACCCATCATAACATTATCCTCAATTTTAATGGCTGAGAAAAGGCTTTTGACCAGTTTTCACCCAGGCCTAGCAAAATCATACTTCTCATTCTCAGGGAGCTAATTGCATATGTAGTACCCACGCAAGCTCTCACTAACTATCATGAGCAGCCTCTCCGTCGACCTTGTTGCTATTCATTGCAGGTACTCCCAATATTCCCAGTTCACACAATTGTATGTGTGAGTTTCCTTTTACTATTTTTATTTTTATTTTTTGTTCTTCCATTCAATCCACTCCTGACCAGTGTTCATGGGTTGGTTGCCATTTTGACAGCTTAATTCAGGTACCCTTTCAAAATTTTAATACCCAAATCATGTTAAATATTTGGCGATGAGTTTTTAATGAAATTGGTTTTTTTTTAAATTAATTATTATATTTGACATATGCAAAAATTATTTTATATAATATATAATAGTATTATATTACGAGGGAGTTGTGCACCAATTTGCCCAATTAAACGACCCTTACTGAGTTAGAGGGGTTATGCAATTCGCCCAATTAAATATAATATAATAATACTATATAATATAATGCATAACCCCCTCGTAATGTAATTCGCCCAATTAAATATAATATATAATAATACTATATAATACCCTTACCGAGTTTGAGGGGTTATACAATTTGCCCAATTAAATATAATATAATAATACTATATACTATAAAGCATAACCCACAATATTATATATTATATAAAATAATTAAATAGGAATTTACTGCAAAACCCTATAAGTCATGAAAAGTTTGAAGCAATTTACCCTTGTTATTAGTATTATTAATTAACAACTCCCCTAATACTATTAGAAAAACTTAACTCTTTATCGTTGCACTTTTGGAAGGAAAATATGTGTCACTATTTAAATATATTTACGGTACACATTATGCAATTGAGACCCACTATTTTATTCTATTTCAAATTCAATTTTGGAAAATTAGTTGAGTTATATTCCATATTTATTACCTATTATTGCTCTGACCAAAACTATTCCAATGTCATTTGGAATAGTTTTATTCTTTTTAATTTTACTTATTCTCTCCAAATTGGAAGACTGTTGTTTAGATTTACTACTAGTATGCTTTGAGTATGTATTTATTCATATAATATAATATAATATAATAATATGTATGCATTATGTGATGAATCAGGGTTGGTGCGAAAAGCTCTAGCAGGGTGTGGTTGAGAAACTGTTTTACAAATAAAAGTGGCGCTCCACTACACATAGTACAACAAAGGATTCCTCTCACCAATAGCAGCCATTCTTGGTGCGTTTTCTTTCAAGTATATACTAGTATTAGGATCAGGGATGCAACTTGGGATGGCAACCCCAACCCAGCTGTTTTGTGGATTTGGACAATTATTATTATAATTAAGGTTTGATATGAGTTAAAAAAATAAGGGCAAATTTCGTAAAATCCTCAAAACTATCAATAAGTGATCATAAAACCCCAACTAGTTTTTAAAACCCCCAATAATATAATAAAGTTATCATTTTACCCTAACTTTGTTAATTGGGGCCGTTAACCCAGCGCGTGATTAACAATTGCTTTGACAATTTGACTTTTGTGACGAAAATACCCCTGCTATCACATGTGCCAAACAAGTTATGTGTATTTAAATCTGTTATACCGAAAATACCCCCAACTATGTAATAATAAAAACCCACCAAAGTTAACTTCACGTTTTACCAAAGTTAACTTCATTACGAATTTACCGGTTTTTAAATTTCAATCATCGTCCTCTTCGCTCTCTCCTGGAGCTATTGCCGGAATCACGATTACATCTGTTGTATTCATTGTTTGCTTATCTGGGTTTTACTGATTTTGGCGAAAGACTACGAAAGAAGAAGAGGATGAGATTGAAGATTGGGAGCTCGAATACTGGCCGCACAGATATTCATATGAAGAGCTCAGTGAGGCCTCCAATGGCTTCTCCAAAGATGAGTTTCTCGGGACTGGTGGGTTCGGCAAAGTATACAAAGCAACACTACCCAACAACACAGTCGTCGCCGTGAAGTGCGTGAACCACGATTCGAAGCAGGGTTTGAGAGAATTCATGGCAGAGATTTCGAGTATGGGTCGTCTTCAACACAAGAACTTGGTTCAAATGCGAGGTTGGTGTCAAAAGGGCAACGAATTGATGCTTGTGTACGATTATATGCCGAAAGGTAGCCTGAATCGATGGATATTCGACAAACCTAAGACGCTTTTGGCTTGGGATGATCGGAGAAAAATCCTCGCCAATGTTGCAGAGGGCTTGAACTATCTCTACCATGGTTGGGACCAAGTGGTGATTCACAGAGACATTAAGTCGAGCAACATTTTGTTGGGGTTTGACATGAGAGGTCGGTTGGGTGATTTTGGTTTAGCGAAGTTGTATACGCAAGGGGAGGTGCCGAACAAGACGAAAGTGGTGGGGACTTTGGGATATTTGGTGCCGGAGCAAAAATATACAGAAATTTGCCCTAAAGGATGAGAAATTATTGTATGAGGCAGCACCACTCCAAGTCACAGTCGCCATCGCCGACGAGCCCTCTCAGGTAATTGCATATTCCCTCCCCATTCCAGTTCACCGTACTCCAAATTCGCTTATTTGACGGCAAACCAAGCAATCTTCGAAGCCACCTACAGAACGATGAAGATTCACATCGTCGATTTTAGGATCGGGCGATGGCGGAGCTAGACTACGAAGCCAATGATCAGCATTGAACAGAGATCGGCGTTGGTGACCATAGGGGAAGACTCCAGTGAAGGCGACAATGGTTCATACAATAATTTGTCCTAAAAGATAGTATTGGCACTAAACGTGGTCGTTTTGACCTAAAAGATAATATTGTAATTTCAAAAATACGATTTTTTTAGTTTTTTAAATAAAAGGGAATATAATAAGAGTAATTTAGTCATTTCACATACCCTTAACGCCCAATTGACAGAGTTGGGGTAAAATGATAACTTTATTATATTATTAGGGATTTTAAAAACTGGTTGGGGTTTTATGATCACTTATTGATAGTTTTGGGGATTTTACGAAATTTGCCTTTAAAAAAATCTCAACTCAAATTAACATTTAGTAGAATTATTTTTATAAGTATTTATTTTAGTAGTCTTCGAGCATAGCGATGTTAGCAAGGATCAAGGAGGTAATTTTTTAAAATTTCGCTTTCGAATGACACTCCTGACTTGAATAGTTCATATGTTGTAGGGTTGATATACGTATTTTGAGGAAAAAAAAAGAAGAAGCATTTGTTAGTAATTTATTAAAAAATTACAATAAGTTTTTAATTTTTCTTTTTAAGAGTAATTTAATCAAATTGGCCATATGGGTAACCCGACTTTTGAAGTTAAAATCTAAGCCTGAGTTAAAACTTAGTTTAAAAGTAGAAGAATAGATTTGGATCGAATTGAGTAGTTAGGGTTGAAGGTAGGATTAGAATTGAGCTTGGGGTAAACATTTTATATGTCAGGTTGGGGTCAAGCTAGAACCCCAACTTACCCGAGTTACAGTCCTAATCAGGATAAACTGGGATAAAAAATAAAAATTCGCTCAATTTTTAAAAATTTACTAATGCCTCTCAACGAATACAAAATTGCAACTTGCTCAATTAGTTAATGTGTTAGTATCTGATTACCATTTTACCCTTAAAGATATCAATAAACAACTGTAGTAGTAAAGTTATAAAAGAACAATAGATGGAATCTTAATTGCATATTTTGGCTTGACTCGATCTTTTTTGCTAACACTAAGAAAAAAAACATTTCTATTTACATTACCGGTAGATTAAAAATGTTGCTTACCTCCTCTGGCAACTGATAGGGCATATTTGCATAGTTTTGGAATAGTGGAAGTTTATTTTGTGCAAAAGTAAAAGTTTAGGGAAATAATATGTGAAATGTTAAAAGTTGAGGGATTAGTTAGTTTATACTAGTGGGTAAATTATACACACATATTAACTGTGTACGGACATTCCGTGTGTTTCTCTAAAAGTTGTTGCTGGGCGAGTGCATCGTCAATTATGGCGGAGAAAGGGAAAGAGAGTGAGAGCTCAATGTTTGATGGAGAAAGAGCAGGTGTGGTGGTGAAGGAGCTGAGAGAGTGTTTCAATTCTGGGAAGACAAAGAGCTACGAATGGAGAGTGGAGCAGTTAAAGAGAATCGCCAAATTCATTGATGAGAGGGAGAAGGACATCCTTGCAGCTCTTCATAACGATCTCTCCAAACCCGAAACAGAAGCTTTCGTTTCCGAGGTCTTATTTTTCTTTCTTTTCTCAATACCCGTCTCCGGAATATATATATATATATATATATGTATGTGTTTCTCCTGTACTCAAATTGCATAGGACTAACAGATTTTATATTATTCAAATGTATATATGATCAAATTATTTACTGCAAATAGTATTTTTAGTTTTGTTATATGAAAATTCAATTAAAAAAAATCTGTTTTTATATATTTTTTTTAAAATAGTTTTATTTTTTGAATTCTTGAGAACTTTTCTTTGAGTAAGAAATGGCACTTATTAGTTTTTTTGTATTGTCCGACAGAAAGAAAAATGATTTCCTTTGAACTTTTGTGTCTTTTCGTTAACTTAATCTGCAAACTGAATCGGACCCAAATTTTTCTATCTGGTAGGAGATAATAATAACTTTTAAGATTAATTTTTCATAGTAACATTTATGTCTTTGTCTGTGTCTTTGTTCTTATTATTATAATGTAAGGAGTAATCCATTTACTATTCATATGGAATTTTTCTCCAGATTTCTTTGACGAAAGGTTCTTGTAATTTAGCAATTAAAGAACTGAATCGTTGGATGACGCCAGAAAGGGTATTTCCTGCTAACCCATTCTCCTAAAGAATACGAATGACAATTATGTTGCGTTTCGCAGCACTAAATCGGCTGTTTGGATTTGGAATTGGAGGAATTTTTGTTCAAATTTGTTCTAAATTTCCTCCAATTCAAAATTCAAACGGCTAATTTGGTGCTCCAAATTAACTATTTAGCATCATTAAGATCCATTTTGGGATTTTTCAGGTCAAAACTTCGTTTTCGACTTATCCATCATCAGCAGAAGTTGTTTCAGAACCACTAGGAGTTGTGTTGGTCATTTCCACATGGAATTATCCTTTCAGTATGTAAAACAAATCTTTTAGCATAAGAGTCATATCTAGTGATACTAAATACTACATATTTTCTCTTTTCTATTCAACTAAGAAAGGAAAATAATTTTACATATGCTTTTATCAATTATGTTTTCTTTTTCCCACACATCATTGCACGAATTTATGTTTACTTAGTTCTATATTTCTTCTCATTTCGTATTTGTTCGTTTTAGGGGTTAACCATTTGCTCTCAATGTTATAGTTGCTCTTACAAATGCATTTCATGCTCCACATGCATATACTTCCGGTTTATACCAAGCCGCATAATCCATGAGACAATTGGAGTTTCTGATATTGATTGATCTAAATATATGGACATTTAAATTCGGTTTATTTTGTGACAAGATTTGTTTCAAAATTTTGTTCAGTGTTATCTCTTGAGCCTGTGATCGGAGCCATTGCAGCTGGAAATGCTGTGGTTCTTAAACCATCAGAAATTGCTCCATCCACTTCGTCTCTGCTTGCTAACTTATTAGAGGAGTATGTCGATAACTCTGCCATAAGAGTCGTTGAGGGGTCTGTTCCTGAAACATCTGCCTTACTGGAGCAGAAGTGGGATAAAATATTCTATACAGGTTGTTAGCCTTCAATAGTTGTTAGAACTTTTTGCATAAGATGATTCTAAGAGATTGAAAGATTTCTTAGTTTCTTGATTTCATATAAAAAATGCCATAACAATTATTTTTCTATGATATTATGAAAACTTAAATTGTTTACATATACTCTGAAATGATTTTTACTTTTGATGAAGATTACTTACATTTGATGAAAACTACTTGTGTACATTTGATTAAGAAATAATGTTTTCTTGTCTAGTGTACCAAGTGCAGATTTTTGGGGTCCTGGTGGAAATAACTTGTAGTGAAGAATTATTTGTTTTCGCCATTACTATAAGTAACATTTGGTTTTTAATTTTAAACAATCGTTTTTTATTTTTAAAATTTTTCAAATTCTGCAGGTAGTGGAAGAGTTGGAAGGATTGTGATGGCTGCTGCTGCAAAGCACCTCACCCCGGTAATTTTAGAGCTCGGAGGGAAATGCCCTGCTGTTGTGGATTCAAATGTAGACATTCAAGTATGAAACGAGCTATATATTATCTTTTAATTCTGTTCGTGTCATCTAAATTTTATTAATCCGTTTCACTTCTTGCGTCTTTGTTTCTTATGCTGCCCTAAAGGTTGTTGCGAGGAGGATAATAGCAGGCAAGTGGGGATGCAATAATGGGCAAACTTGCATTGCTCCTGATTATTTAATAACCACAAAATCTTTTGCCATAAAGTTGGTAAGATGCCTACTTATGAAGCAAATGTTTATATATGTAGTCTTCATCTCATGCTTACATCACTATCCGGTTTGTTCAACAGATAGATGTTCTACGATCTGAATTGGAGAAATTCTTCGGGAATGACCCAATGGAATCAGAGGACATATCCCGCATTGTAAACTTACATCACTTCACACGTTTGACGAATCTTATGGATGAGGACAAGGTATCTGATAGAATCATGCTTGGAGGCCAAAGAAACAAAGACCAACTGTGAGTTGCATTTATAGTCTCATTCCCATGTTTTCAGATTTATAGCCAATCCTAAGATTATTTCTGTTTATTGCAGAAAGATAGCTCCAACCATCTTGTTGGATGTTCCAGAAGATTCTCAGATAATGAGGGAGGAGATATTTGGGCCATTACTACCCATTCTCACTGTGAGATCAATTAATTGACATTGTCTTTAGAAATATATATATATATATATATTTTCCCGAGATTTGCTTGTAAGGTTATGCTTGGATCTCAGAAAGAAATAGGAAAAGGAATGAAAATGCTATAAAAAAAAAATAATAATAACGGTCCAGAAAGGCAGAAAGGATGCTGTTTCATTTTTTTTTTTTTTTTGGTTTATCTTTTTCTCTCGTTTTCCTTCTTTTGAGATCTAAATTAATAGAGCCTAAGTGGTGGGATGAGGATTTAAACCCTCTATATGGTTGCTACATAAGAAAACTAATATCAACTTTTATAGAAATCTAGAAGAGTACTCCTAAAAAAAATAAAGAATAAAAAAAAACCTTTAGGAGAGTACTTTTACTTCATTTCTGTTCATTCATTTTTGGGGCTTCGAAGCTTCCATCATCTGTAATATTGTTCCTTCTCATGGTGAAAGAATACTGTATATTCTCCGGAACTTGTTCTTTGAGACCTTTTTTTTTCACTCCCATCTAGTATCTTGTGATGGAAAATGGAATCAAGCTAGAAGAAATGTACTTACCAAAAACAAAAAAAGCTAGAAGAAATGTTGGCATATTAATTTATTTTCTTTTTTTCTAACATTTAGTTATAACTGCAATTTAACATGAAATATTAACAATATAATTGTACTTCTGATTTTGATAGGTTGAAACTCCGGAAGACAGTTTCACTGTAATAAACTCAAGATCTAAACCTCTTGCTGCATATCTCTTCACAAACGATGAGAAGCTGAAGAAGGATTTTGTGAGGAACGTATCAGCAGGAGGAATGCTTATTAATGACACTATCCTCCATGTGAGTATTTTCTCCTGAATCTCATTCAAAATTTCCATACATGTGTGTATATATAGATATACGGCAACAATCTTCTGCATAGATTCTCAATATCGTATGCCTCATGAATTGTTCTGCTGTTGGATCTTGATCATAGGACTTAAAATGACATATTTACTTGCTGTTAGTTTAGTTTATATTAAGTTATTCCCATCTAAATATAATTTAACAACTCATCAGAGGTTTTTGTTTAGTGCTGAATACACTTCTGCAGATATCTTATAAAGTCTGGAGCTAGTTTCAAAAGTAAGATTATTTAATGTGCTCGAAAAACTTATTCAATTGCAGAAATCGCAAACAAAACATAGTAGCACTACATTGAACAAGTGCTGTGAGCCACAGTTCTTTGAATACTGCATTTATAATTAGAGTTTAAGAAGTTGTTCAAGTAAGCCTTAAATGTTGGATGTAAACAAGCTTTTTTAAGTGTCTTGAATTTTGAAATCTGCCCATTAAGTGCTTTCTAGAGTTTCTAGTTCATTTTCATGCAATCTGCATTATATTTTGGTCATAACTGACATTAAAAAAAAAAAAAAAATCATGGAATTATTTGCAGTATTCGTTTTAGAAATCTCAATGCAAATATATCTAGCTAGACAGAAAAAGTATACTAGCATGGCAAACTACTTGCATAGGCACATTATTAATATTCATGCTTGCATCCTCTCTCATAAGAAAAGTGATTTGGAGTCGAACGTCAGACAGTTCCAACTAGTTTACGTGAGTGGAGGCTGACATTATCACGATGTCATTAATTTCCCCAACATCATGATGACATCAGCTCCCACTGACATAGAATTAGTCAGATTTGTTCGACTGTTAGACTCCCTATCTTACTCCTCTCATGCTCAACTTTGATTTAGTTTGTTATATATGGTGGAGTACTGTTTTAGAGTAATCTCAATGTGCATATATCTAGACAGAAAAAGCATAATAGCATGACAAACTACAAGCAAACTTGCTTAAGCATATTAGTAATATGAAGGTATATATATATATATATTTTGAACAATTGATACTTGCATCCTCTCTCATAAGGAAAGTGATTAGGAGTCGAAAGTCCGACAATTCCGACTGATTTATGTGAGCAAAGGCTGACATCATCATGATGTCGTTGATATCCCCGACATCATGATGACGTCAGCTCATACTCACATAAAATTAGTCGGATTTTTCCGACTGTTAAGGCTCCCTATCATTACGCCTCTCATAATATGTTCAACTTTGATTTAGTTTGTTGTATACGAACTAAAACTATGTACACATTAATGCAGGTTGCAGTCTCTGGTTTACCTTTTGGAGGAGTTGGGGAGAGTGGGATGGGGTCATACCATGGTAAATACTCTTTTGATGCATTTAGTCACAAGAAGGCAGTTCTTTACAGAAGTTTTAAAGGAGATTCATCTGTAAGGTATCCTCCATACACACATGGAAAGCTCAGATTTTTGAAGGCCATAATGAATGGTGACATATTGGGAGCAATACTTTGTCTAATAGGATGGACTAAGGATTGATTGATAGATACACAAATATTTCTGTATAGATAGATAATAAAAATCCATAAATTTTCTTTGCTGTTGATTATATACAAAAAAAGTATAGTTGCTATAAAATTGGATTGATTAGAGTATTTCACGATTTTATGTAGGGGTAAAGTTCACCCAAAAAAAAAAAAAAATGCTATATAAAAATTGCCACAAAGCATTTCAACCCAGTGTAGTAAATTTGAGGCAGCCAACCGCCTAAAGCTGCAAAAGGGTAATAGTACAATATTTAAACTTGCTTAGATGAATGAATAGTGATTTTTGTTAGTGTGTACACAATCAGGTGGTGTAATGGGTTGGACCTAGTCCATGTTGGGCTTGACCCATCCAAAACACACGTGCGTAGTGCGTAGGTCCCTGGACCCTGGTAGCAAAAATAATTAGCATCCCACAGGAAGGTTATGCTTTTGGTAACAGAACCTGACAAGGTACAAAGAATGAAATCTTTATTTATTTTCTACAAGATTGGTGTGGCCACCATTTATTGCTAAATAAATGCACTTTTTTGTTATGAGATAGGAGCATATAATAGAGGATAACATCAATGAGATAATATTACAGGACGTAGTATAACCAAAGAAGGTCTTTCTAGTTAACTTAAATCCTTTGCTTCAATCTAGACATACTATATATTTCATCCATTCTAAATTAAATGTATGTATGTCTCTTTTAGGAAGTTTAATTTTTTCAGAGAATGTGTTTTAATATTTTTATTATATTCCTAGTGAATGAATTAGCAAACGACATATTTGCACTGAAAAATTTAATAGATTTCTTTAGCAGAGTTTACTTGGATGCCACGTCATCAAAACCACGCACTTGTTCTGTTTAATCATCAACTTGTTCTGTTTAATCATCAAATCTCTTGTTCTCCAAATTCACCCACTTCTGTGAGAGAAATAGAAACTTGATTATCCCATCCAATGATCCAAAGGCAAACAATCCTTCAAACCATCCGTGATCACCATCTCATTCATCCAAACTCCGGCGACCCTACGAGCTCTTCTCTTTCTTTGGGGAATCCGATTAATTGTATATCATTGTATGGTATTAATTTGTGGCAAGCGCCATACAGATTTGGCACGACAGTTCAAAATGCTGATGGTGACAAATGTAAAGAGCCAAAACTAACTCCCCGCACCCCGAATACTCTAAAGTTATTTTTAATCGCACTGAATCAAATCTAATTTTAAATTTAAGGCACAATATTTAATTAAGGCACAATATTTAATTATTTAATATTGTCAAACATAACATAAGTATCATTGCTCGTTAGAGGGTGTACAGCCTTGATGGTAGTACTTTACCTGTCGTCACACCATTGAAACATATACAGAAGACAAGAATATAGTTAATTCTCTCACCATTGAAACATATACAGAAGACAATAATATAGTTAATTCTCTCTCTATGCTTGTGTTGTGTTACTCCTTGGCTTGGAAAATTGCTGTTTTGGTGCCATCTTTTGAAACTTCAAAATTAATCATCTTGTTAATTTTGAAATAAATTCAAATTTTAATTAGAATTTGGGAAAGACCCAACTTATTTTATAAAGTAAACAAATTTATTTTGAAGCTTCTCAAAATAAAAGATAGAATCTCTCTCAATTTCTCTCCATCTTAAACATCAATGCTTAAGAAAGGTCCATTATGTTTTTCTTTTCTTTTGGTATTAATTTTTGTTAGACCATTGTAAGAGCAACCCCAGTGCAAGACACTCTTGTCATCCTACACTTTATGTAAAGTGTACAGTCACATCAGCAATTTTATGTAAAGTGTACAGTCCACATTAGTAATTGATTGTACACTTATTTTGGAGACTCCAAGTTCTTGTTGTGCACTTATTTTTTCATTATACACTTTATTATATTATTATTTTGCACATACAACAATTATTTTACACATTATCCCATAATATTACTTTTTCATTTTATATTATTATCACACACAATGGCCCACTGCGCGAGCCGCTACTACCCACTAGCAAGCACTACTTCATTCTTCATCTATGGGGTGTGGAGTGTGTAATACGAGATGGGCCCCCACTTGTGTGTAATGTGCACAGTAGAGTCTTTCATTCCACACAGATTCAAATATTGTACACTATTATCACGCGCTGGTGTTGCTCTAAGTACTAAAATACAATGGCACTATTAAAATAATTATATATTATACAAAAATATATTTGATTGACAGCTTTTGATAATTATTTTTTAAAAATTTAATTTAAAAAGACATATTTTTAATGTTTTTATAATTAACTCAAAAAAGTTTTATATTTTCTGTTAAAAATTATTTTCTTAATTACAAATCAAACAAAGATTCCTCAAATGGAGACCAACGCATGCATTGGGCCCCCCTTTTCTAAAGACTCGTCCATAGTAATATTTTGTTTTGGTAGTAATATATCTTGACCGGTAGGCGCTCACTGCCAGTCAATTCTTTTGACTGGCTAATTTTTTGTAGTTGGTCAGAATAATAAAAAAAGAAAAAAGAAAAACTGAAAAAGAAAATGAAAAGGAAAGAGATCTATATATCCTTACAAGTGAGTGAGCTTCGCCAACACAAACCCCACTAATTCTCCACATGGCCTTCCTAAGTGATCCGATCCTCTGTGTTACATAACCATGCCTTAAAATGACATCACTTTGATGGATATGCAACATATAGAACACCCATTACATCCATAATACAACACAAACTAATTTTTTTTTATTTTTTATTTTTTATGATTTTAGGATATGTAATTATTTTTTAAAAATCCGACAGGAAATACTATCCAACTTCGTGTCACTGTTTGAGAATAGATTTTGATAACATTATTTGACTCACTTCCTGATTTTTAAAAATTACGAAAATTTTCAATTTTATATATCCACGAGTCTACTTTCTAAAAACAATTTTTTTGGAATTTTTGCCGCTCCCTACATTTTTCAATTGGAAGAAGTTTGTGAGAATGATTTATTTTCAGCTCGTTCTAGATAAGATGAAAATTGATTTCAATGATAAATATTCGGCTTCCGAGATTGCAGTCATGTTACTCTTTAAAGAATTTTTGTTTGCTCCATTTCAACAAGAAAGATTTCTTTCCAACAAGGGACAGCATTGGTGGCTTTGTTTTTAGTACTCAAGGCTATGATTACTTGGTTCATTTGGAGAACATATGAATGATAGGATTTGAATATGATGAGCTCCATTGAAGTTGTTTCACACTTGTACCCCAAGGATTGTTACTTGAAGGATTTGTACCGTTCGTGCATTGAGAAAATGGGCCGTGACAATGACTTATACAGTGACCATCGATGACCATGTGCGTGTAAGAAAGGTAAGTTCACTTTAGTGATTGGATTAGTACAATTTGAGTCACTTTCCTTCCAATTTGCGTGTAAGGTAAGATATCACTTAAGCACAGTTAATTGCGAAGTTCTAATAAATCTGATGAAGTAGTGGTGGTAGGAAGAGACCCTATCCCCACTAACTTTACTCCTCCACAAGCCCACAAATACATAGATACATATATAAAATATATATTTGGAGCATCTTCTATCTCTTGCATTTTCTTTTCAGTTTCAATAGCAGTATGCGCAGAGCCAGTGGTAGTGGTGGTGCGGGACGTGGCTGTGACATCTTCGGTTTGATTGTACATGTTGTTCGAGGTCCATGGCTATCCCTTTTCGCCTCCTTTCTGGTCATGGCTGGAGCCGGCGGAACTTATCTTTTCGGAATCTACTCCAAAGAGATAAAAGTCTCTCTTCAATATGATCAAACCACACTCAACCTCCTCGGCTTTTCCAAAGATCTTGGCGGGTATGTTGGAGTCCTTTCCGGCCTAATCGCGGAGGTAACCCCAACATGGTTTGTGCTACTAATCAGCGCAGCCATGAATTTCGGTGGCTTCTTCATGGTATGGCTGGCAGTCACCGCAAGAATCGCCAAGCCAAAAGTCTGGCAGATGTGCATATACATATGCATTGGAGCCAATTCTCAGAACTTCGCAAACACGGGAGCTCTTGTCACTTCTGTCAATAACTTCCCAGAGAATCGAGGTGTCTTGGTCGGTCTCTTGAAGGGTTTCACTGGACTAAGTGGAGCTATCATGACCCAACTTTACTTGGCCATCTATGGATCAAATGACTCTAAATCTCTCATCCTTCTTGTTGCGTGGCTTCCGGCTGCAATCTCTGTGGTTTTCGTCAATACAATTCGGACTATAAAGGTTGTTAAGCAACCAAATGAGCTCAGAGTCTTTTATCATTTCCTATATGCATCCATTTTCCTAGCTGTGCTTTTAATGATTATGACCATAATACAAAATGAAGTATCATTTTCGCAACCAGCTTATGCTGGAAGTGCCACTGTGGTTTGTCTCTTGCTCTTTGTCCCTCTTTTGATTTCCGTAAGGGAAGAGTTAGTTCTCTGGAATCAAAAGAAACAACACACTACTAATCCTACCATGATAGAATCAAAACCGGCATCACCACGAAAGCTGCCTGATCAAAAGAAGCCACGGCGAGTATCTAATTTCTTCGCGGACATTTTCAACAAACCGGAAAGAGGAGAAGATTACACAATCTTGCAGGCACTTATTAGCATGGACATGCTGATTCTATTCATTGCAACAGTTTGTGGAATCGGGGCAAGCTTAACTGCAGTCGACAACTTGGGTCAGATTGCGGAATCACTGGGATATCCAGCTAAAACCATTAAGTCCTTTGTGTCACTCTTAAGCATATGGAATTTCTTTGGGAGGATATCAGTTGGCTTTGTCTCGGAAATTTTACTCGTTAGGTACAAATTCCCCAGGCCCCTTATGACCACACTGGTCCTTTTCTTGTCCTGCATCGGCCACCTCCTCGTCGCCATTCCATTCCCCGGTTCAGTATATGTGGCATCGGTGATCATTGGATTCTCATTAGGGGCACAAATTCCGCTACTTAATATCATAATTTCTGAGCTGTTTGGCCTAAAACATTACGCGACATTGTTCAATTGCGGCCAATTGGCTAGTCCCCTTGGCTCATATGTACTGAGTGTGAAGGTCACAGGACTTCTTTACGATCGGGAGGCCTTGAAAGAGCTTGCAAGGAAGGGAATGCAGAGATCATCCACGACGAAGGAA